CAATCTCAGAATATTGCATTTCCATGAAACATCCCATCCCAGCTTTAGCTGAAGCACTTCAGCTTTTATTTCTGTTACTTCAACATTAGCAAGCACTAATGCCTAGTAATTTAGGATATAACTGAAATGACAAACCAAAAGAAAACACTTTGATGCAGAAAACTCTGTGAAATCTGGGGAAGAGCTAGAAGGATGAGACTTTTGGTGCATTTTGGGATAATCCTTCATAGGCAGTTCACTCTTCCCATCAGGAATTGGATCTTGATCCCTTGCGTGACCAAGCAAAGCAAGTGATGACCAGATGCAGCTACTCCAGAGTAAAAACCCCTCTCCTGAACACTTCTGGCTGCTTAAAGTGAATTCTGGCTGCACTGACCCCCGTCTGAGCCACCCACCGAGGTGGTGGGATCAAGCACCATCCAGTTAACGATTGTGTTCTGCTTTAAAGAGACACGGGGTGAAATTCAACCCACCTCAGATCTCCTCCCCTGTGCTGTCAGAGCTGGAAATGGAACAGCCAAGTGGCTCCTGGCAAGTTCTGGCCCTGGGTCTCCAGCCTCTCTCTCCTCACTCCTCCTCCTCTCCCCAAGTGGCTGCTGGAGCATCAGGAATGTAGATGCAGCAGGCAATGTCAAACTTCCCAAATATTTTCGGTGTTTCTGTGGGCTTTCAGTCACATCAAACTGCACAGAGCTGTGCTTTGGCCTGGAGTTATCGGCTTGACGTTCCCTTCAAGTGGAAAATGCTTGGATTTGGTTGTTTGTAGGGAAGAGGAATTGGTTACACAGAGCTCTGCACCCGCCAGCCCGGTCGGGTGAGGAGGGATTGCTTTACATGGCAGTGGAGGAGAGATCCCTAAATCAGATCCCACCTTATCTCCTGTACGAGTACCACTGGCTTGGACAATAAAACACAGCATGACAGGATGTGTCCAACACCGGAAAAGTTTGCAAAACAGTAACATAAATCGCCGGGAAGAGAAGAGGCATTTAACTTACAGCTCTGGAGATGAATTAAAACTCACTCGTTTTGTAAATTTGCTTAACTCGTATTAATCTGTGAAAATATGCAGCTTTTCTTCTACATGGAGACAGATGACATTTCCAGAACTCAAGTCTCGGGGCTTTTCCAAGTTCTTATTGAAAAGCCGGAGATAATTACTTTTGCAGGGACATAAAGATAATGACTCCACATTTACAGAACATGATTAATAACAAGTCTGTTTGTATTTACAGTTTCTTCACTTACCCCTGCAACGGGGCCACCTCTGAAGCAGCCCATGGAGCTTTTATCCCATGGAGCTGGGAATCTGGTGCTGTGGTTATTTCCAGGCATCATACCAAAAAAATCTCTCTGAAAGCCACTTTGGGAAGATGCTGGCTCACCCCCCTCCTCCTGATGCCTCGTCCAAATCCCCTTCCCTGCCTGTCTTGGCTTTGGTGGATGGGGGGATGGTTTTTCCCCTTTACCCCTGCAGCAGCCTTGTGAATTTTGGGGAAGCTCTGCCCACAACCTCCTCCCTGAGCCCCCTCCTCTCTCTCCCTGCTGTCACTTTTGTGCCCAGTGGGTTCTTTTCTCCTCTTCATCCCTCTGCTCCCCTGGAGGGAGGTGATCCCACTGTCTGCAAGGGCACAGGAGGAACCTTCCCGCTGCATGGAAATTGGATGGAAGCTGGATAGAAGCCCCAGTGCCCTATAAGCATCAGCTGCCAGCAGCCTGGGAAGAGACTGTGGTGTGACTCCTCAGGCAGGGATCTCTTCCAGCCACAATCCACCTCTCCCAGCACAAAGGGTCGGGCAATGTCGCCGAGAGCAAACGAGCCCCGGCACTCGGGCACATCCCTCAGCCGCAGGGGACCTCGCTGCTCAGCCCTTCCTGCTGCCCAAAACACCTCTCCGGGCCGTGTCCCTGCTCTGGCAGGCGGCATTCCCTGCCCATCACCTCCGGCACAGGTCGGGAGCCGCCTCTGCCAGGTCGGAGCCATCCCGGAGGCTCCTCTTTCCCCTCTCTGCTAACGGGGAAGGCTCCGCAGCCTCGCGAGCCGGTGCCAAATCCCGCTCCAACAGCTGTATGTTCTCTAGCATGAGTCATCCCCACCCCGAGCTTTCAGCCTCTCCATAACAACATTCCTTCTCTCTGATCTCAGATCCTGGCTGTGATCACTCCCTGTCTAGTTCTCCTTCCTCCATCCACATGGTCCCTCCTGCCCAGGCTCGGTCCCCAGCCGAGGCAGCAGAGGAGGCTTTGCCGGGATCACGGCGGATGCAGATCCCCTCCCTCCCCCAGTATTAAGAGGAGGTGCCCAGCAACCAGGAGATCCACCTTTTCTCTCTCTGGAGAGAGACAGTGACTTTGACTCTCTTTCAGACTGTTTTTTGCTGTTCTTCCCCATCCCAGATGTGTCTGGAAGAGCCACCACCGCCACCCTCTCCCAGAGCTTTGGGAGGGTGCTCTGAGTCTTTGGTCCTGCCCTGCCATGGGCTCTGCTCAAGATCCTCCTCCCTGAGCCCCTTCCTCTCTTTCCACCATCGCTTTTGTCTCCAGTGGGTTCTTTTCTCCTCCTCATCCCTTTGCTCCTACAAAGGGAGGTGATCCCACTGTGCAAGGAGACAGAAGGAACCTTCCCATCCCCACATCCCCATCCTGGCAGCTTCCACCTCAGGAAGAGTGGAAGATCCATGCTTCCTCTTCTCTGTGAGCCTGTCCCCTGCAGGGTCCAGCTTTAAGCCCTGGAATTGCCCTCTCCCCTAATCCTGCCTCCAGCATCTCTCCTCACAGACCCCCAGGGAGACCAGCCCACTGGGAGCATCACTGCTGACCTGTGACTGCAGAACTGCAGTGTCCTGGGCAGGGATGGGCAGTGCTGGAGCGTGGTGGGCTCTGCCAGCCCTGTGCTGCCAACTCCCTGCCCTGCCCACACTGCTGCACCGCCGACCCCTGCTCCGAAAGCCGCCGGCGTCGAGTTCCCACCACTTCCCCCTCCGGCTCTTTGGCCGGCTCTGCCTGGCACAGGTACAGCCTCGGAATACAAATCAGATTTTGCTCAAAAGCATTAATTTCTTCTGGATCATGGAGTGCCCAGATGGGTTCCAGTGGCAGTGAAGGGAGACCTTGAACGTGTTCGCTCGAACAGCCCGAGAAGCCAAAGTGAAATCCCATTTCTCCCTGGGCAGTTGGGTTTGTTGCCTGCAAGGCCTGGATGAGGGAGGCCTCGCTCTGTTCCAGCGGTGCAGTTGGCACCTTGGACCCACTACCATGATCCCTCTTCTTTCCCTTCACTCAAGAAGCTCCGAAGATTCCCAAAATCTCTTTTAATTGAGCCTGGCAGGGGGGAGGGAAAGCCAATCCCATGCAGCATTCCTCCAGAATTTGGGAGTTTATTTCTCTCATCGTCAACCCACTGGACGATGCTCCTCTGCCAGAGACAGGTGAGGAACCCAGTGTCCTGCCCCTCACTTCTGAGCTTTATCCCTAAAAACCTTTCCTGGGCAGTGCTCTCTGCCATAGAGACACCCAGCTGGATCCTGGATCTGCCTATGAATTGTGGGGTGTCAGTGGCAAAGTCCCTCAGGGAATTGCAGAGTTGTTTCGTGGCTCCCTGGGGAGAGCAGGGGGTCTGGTTTGATGATCCGAGACTTTCCACAACCATGGGGAAGGGGAAACGTTTTTAATTAAAGGCTGAGAAAGAGCCTTTGCCTGCAGAACATCCCAGGCCTGGGGAGGGACAAGGTGGAATCTCCACAGCACTTACTGGAGTGTTGGGATGGGAATGTGATGGGAAAAGTGGGTAGGGAGGTGCCACCAGTGGGATGCTGCATCCCCTGCGGGAATTGGGATGTGGGAATGAGGATGTGGGCACAGGGAGGCAGGGATGGGGATGTGGGCATGGGAATGAGGGGATGAGGATGCAGGGATGGGAACGCAGAGATGGAGATGCAGGATATGGGGATGGAGATGAGGGGATGGGGATGTGGGGATGAGGATGGGGATATGGGCGTAGGAATGAGGGGATGGGGATGCGGGGATAGGGGTGAGGGCATAGAGATGAGGGGATAGGGAGGTGGGGATGGAAATGAGGGGGTGGGGATGAAGGGATGAGGATGTGGGGATGAGAGGATGGGAATGCTGTGCCATGGTCCCTGGGGCTGACAGAGATCTGTTGTGTTTTTGGCGAGTTCAGAGGAGGAGAAACAAAGCGCCTGGAGGAGAAAGTGCCTCTGGAACCTACGTTAGTGCTGTCTGGGGGGGGGCTGCAGCAAACGCCTCCACTGCCAGGATTAACATGGGATAATGCTTTATCCCAACTGCTGAACTCCCTGTGCTGGAAGAGGGAAACCACTGCAGCCCCAGTCCTAGGGCAGGCTGGCCTGGCTGGAACCAGGATCTGCTGGTGCACTGCAGGCTGGGGGGCTGGGGGACTGTGCCCAGGGGGTGGAGAAGGGTCTCTGGGCTCTAAGTGTTTCACAGGATCACGGAATCATGGAATGGTTTGGGTGGGAAAGGACCTTAAAGACCATCCAGTTCCAAACCCCCCCCCGTGGGCAGGGACACCTTTCGCCGAAGCATCCCCGGCGCGGCGGGGCCCATCCTGCGGGGGGGTCTGGGGGTCCCCGCTGGGCGAGGGGACCCGCGAGCGGGGCGGAGGGAGGATCCCAGCCCGGCTCCCTCCATCCGCCGCCGCTCCCGGCCCCGCTCGGAGCCGGGAAAATCCCAAATCCCACCGATCCCGCCCGGCGATCGCAACTTTCCCACGGCCGGGAAGCGGCTCCCGAGCCCCTCCGGAGCCCGCACCGGGTGGGGCACGGGGGGGGTCCCGTCCCGTCCGTGTCCCCCCCGCCCGAAGCCGCCGCGCTCCGCCCCCCGCGGGGCCGGGGCGGGACCCGGGGCCGGGCGGAACCCGCCGCCCCCCCCGCCCCGAGCACAGACGTCCCGGCGGCGGCGAGCGGGGAACCGGGAGTCGGGATCCCACCGCCTCCCGCCGCTCCATGGCCCCGGCCGCGGCGGCGGAGCCCAGTGCCCGCCACCCCCGGGGCACCGGCCCCGGGCCCGGCTCGGAGCGGCGGCCGCCGGTGAGTGCGGGGACGGGGGGGGACGGGCGGGGCGGCGAAGGGGGAGCCGCGGGGGACGCGGACACGGACAGGGATAGGGATGTGGACGCACGGCACCGGCCGCGCACAGCCACATCACCCCGGGCACACAGAGCCCGGGCGGGATGCACGCCGGGCACCCGCGGACACGGAGCACCCCCGGAGCGTCTGCGGGCACCGGGAATTCGTATGGGCATTCGCGGGCACCGGGCACATGGGGACAGCCAGCACCCACGGACAGGGAGCACCCGCGGGCACACAGCACCCCGCGGGCACCAGGCACCCACAGACAGGCACTGGGCACCCACGGGCACCCAGCACCCACGGGATCTGAGCGTTCGTGGGCACCCACGGGCACCCAGCACCCATGGGATCTGAGCGTTCGTGGGCACCCACGGGCACCCAGCACCCGCTGGCACCGGGCACCCACAGGCACCGGGCACCCACAGGCACCAGGCACCCACAGACAGACGCCGAGGACCCGTGGGCACCAGGAGTCCAGGAGCACCAGGCACCCACGAACAGACACTGGGCACCCACAGATGGACACTGGGCATCCAGGGGCATCGGGCACCCACGGACACCCATGGACAGACACCAGGCAGCCACGGGCACGGTGCACACACGGACACAACCCCACACACGCAGGGACACCCGGACACACACCCGCACATGCACAGCCAGGTGTGCACAGATGTGCACACACACACTCGTGTGCAAGCCCACACACATCCTCACACAGCCAAAACACGGGAGCTGGGCACAACTCCCCAGATCCCAGCACTTTGTGCCAGGAGTTCCTGAGGCTCCTGGCAGAGGGTTGGGGCAAGGAGCAGCCTCACAGCTCATCCCCACGTAGGGCTTGATGTAGACATTGGAGAGAGGAGAAGTGGGTGGAAATTATCCCGGTAGCTCCTGGAATTTGCGACTGGGAGGGCCTGTGGGCACAAGGGGCTCAGCTTTGTGACATGGAGGGAGGAACAACCACAGCAGAACCCACGGCTCCCTCTCGCCTCCAGGAGGATTTGGATCCTTGTCCATGAAGTCGGGGAGATGTGACTTTTGCAGGGCAGAGAGTGGGGGAGATGAGGCATTTAAAAAGCTGGAGGCAGGAGTGATGCCAGCTGGGAATACAGCTGGGAATTCCATTGCTTACAGGCCGAGTGGGATGTGGGTCCGTGGGACAGGAGGAGGTGGAATCTGGGTAACTTGGGCCATGCCTGGGAGCAGGGAGGACTTGGCAGCCCCCCGGACTCCATCCCTCCCTCCCTCCACGCTGGCAGGGATTTTTCAAAGGAGCAGCAGGGAAGGTGCCAAATTCAGGAAGAGTTTGGTCCTAATTACCTGGAAATCCCAGCCTACAGATTTTTTTTTCGCCTCTCCTTTCTTTTCTCTTGGCCATGAGGATTTGCAAGGTGCTGGGTGCCCAGCCATCCGGCACTGCTTCCCAGAGGCAGGAATTCCCCCAGGAAATCCCCCCGAGCCCCCCACTCTTCCCCCTCCTCCAAACCAGCAAAGAGCTGCCATTAGAAATCCGCTCTCCGTTTAAATTTAGATGCCTGCATTATCTTGAATTTGGATTTATTAATTATTTGCATCTGGTTCCTATCAAAAAAAAAAAAGTTGAGCAATGCAGATGTCCTGATTTCGGCATCGGCTTGGGGGAGAAACACCAAATCCGCGGCGTTTCCATTGTCTCCCTAAACAATGGCCCATCAGAAGCAGCCGGGAATTACGATCCCGATCCCATCGCAGGGGTCTGACACAAGTTAAGCATCATCCAAGTTGCGTGAGCTCCTCACCATGGGTGACTGCGGCTCATTTCCCAGCCGGAGAGATTAGTCTAATTAGCAGAGCAAATCTGGGTAAGGCAGGCTCTGGTAATTAGTAATCAGTGGGATGTTTCCACGCACTTTCTGTGCCTGAGGGGTAGAGAGGAGTTTAGAGCATGGCCCCGTTTTTTGGGAGCAGGGAGGACTTTGGAGAAGTCAAGGTGAATGGAGGTGGAGCTGCTGGTGGCACTGGTGGCTCTCACTCCTCACATCCCACTTGCCCATCAGGACCTTCTCTCCTGGGGGAGCCCAGGGGTGGAAAGCAAAGGGACAGGCCCGTGTGCCACCAAACCACCCCAGCACCCCCTTTCCCTGTAGCTGCTGTCCGGGATCGTATTCCAAGTGATGGTGGTGGCCCTGGTGGCTCCTGGCTCTGTCTGGGATGTGTGACCTGAAGATGGGAAGCTGGCACTCTGCTTCTCCACAGCCTGGCCAGGTGATGCCTCCGTCAGCAGGTGGAGGGGGTTGTGTGTTAACACTTCCTCTATCCCCTCCTTCACCTGGGAAAAGCAACGGAGGGAAACCAAGAGGAAAACTGCTGTGGAGAGAGGAACAGGGGATGTTTCAGACCCTTGGGTCATCACACCTGGGCTCTTCTGTGCTGCAGCAGAGGTGAAAATCTATCCCCACCTTGGTGAAAACCAGGCGTGAGATTCCCCCCCCTCGCCCAGGACCAGAAGGTGATTCCTGCTGGGAAGGGGGATAATCCTTCCCACGCCGTGATAATTAGCATTACTGGGTTTATGTGGAAGCTTTTATGAGGGAACTTAATTATGATTGATTAATGGGTGTCCCCAGCTAAAGCTGGAGCTGCAGAGCCAGATTTTGTCACCGCGTTGGGAACACGCTGGTGCCGGGGTCACGCAGGGAGGTTTTATCCCTGGGGAATGAGCTCTGGACTGGGAGCTGCTGGTGGGTGGTGGGGTGGTGAGACCCCCAGGAAGATGCCAGCAGCTTGTTCTCCTGTCCCTTCCCTCTGGAGGTCTTTATGTGTAGCCAAGGGGAGGGAATTTGAAGTGAGGAAATAGGAAAGGAGGAGGCACCACACAGGTGGGAACGTGGGGTCAGAAGGATGAGGGGATGCACCACACACTGGGACTGCTGCTGCTTTCCTGCTTTTCCTCTCCTCCAGCCGGGATGGGAGGTGGGATGGGGAGGGAGCTGGTGCCTGGGTGCTGCTCCCGTGGTCCCTCCTGCCCCGTGCTGGGGGCGGCGTTGGAGGTTGGGCTGAAAGGGAGTTATTTTTAAGCTCCACATCTCGGCTCAGACTGTCATTCCCATTCTCCCTACCTTCCCAGTGGGTGGGGGAGCAGGGGGGGCTCCAGCAGCTCAGCACAGCCTTGGACCCAGAAGGTCTTGGTTGCCTGGGTCCCTTTTCCCTGCCAAGGGGGAATTTGGGGGATCTCAGACCCCACGAGCTTGGCCATCACGGGCTGCCTGGGGCTTGGATGAGGTGGAGGGGGCTGTGCTGTGCTCGGTGCTTTGGGGGTGGCCTTTGGACACTCTGAGGGCTTTGCTGTGTGATTTCAAAATCCATTTATTCCCCAAATCAGGAGAGAGGCTTTAAAGTCACAATATTTTAGGAAAAGAAGAGAAAAAGGAGGCACTTTCTGTTTGTTGGGCATTTCTTGGGTGTTTCTTACATCCAGGGCAGGTCCCCGGGGCGATGCCCTGCAGAGGACCCACAGGATGGGATCCTGGGTGCAGGATGGGATCATAGCCTGGAGCAGGGCAGGACAGCAATGGGAATATTCTCCCTTGGGGAGATGCTGGGTGTTAAATCCCTGCTGTGTGGTGGAGGCTGTCCCACACCAAAGCCCTTCCCAGGTGTGAGCCAAGGAAAATATAAAGCTCCTGGAAGGATAACTGGTGAGGGGGATAAACCTGCAAGGGGAAGACCCTCAGAGCTGCCCTTGGCCCTTTTCCACGAGGCAGCCCATCACTGAGCTGGGTGGCACCTCCTGTGGCACAGCACCAGGCTGGCACCACCAGGCACGAGCATTGCCCCTTACCCCTTGTCCAGAGGGAGATTTTGAGACAAAATGTGATTTTTGGTAGGCTGGCATGATGCAAATTCAAGCTGGTTGGGGCAGGGGCAGAGCATCCCCAGGGCACCTGCAGGAGGGACCCTTCCCAAATTCCACTTTACCTCCATCCAGCTCCGCTGCTGTTGGACGTGTTGGGATTTAGTGTCAAATTTTAGGAGCATCAGTCTGTGAAGGCGGCGGGAGAGGATTGAGGTGGGAGGGTGGAAGTGCCTTCGTGATGGGAGGGGATTGCAGAAATATTTGGGTTTATTTTAATGCCAGGCTTATTGCGGGGATTGGGAGCTTAACCTGGCAGCAGAGCAGCACTTCATCCCGCTCTGGATGGCATTTCCAGCTCCACACTGTCATTCCATGCTGTCCTTCCTCTCCACCGGCAACCAGAACCTCAAAGCTGGTCCCGGTGAACCACTGCCTGTGGGCTGGAGGGAGGTGGCTGGGAATACCTGCCTGTCCCCCTGTCCTGGCAGCACCCCCAGGACCCCCATTCCTGCACTCCAGGCTGTGTCTGATGCTGCTGCTCCGACGCTGGATGAATCCATTCCCGGGAATGCCGCAGCTGCGGGGTGCAGGAGGGGATGGCAGCGCTGGGTTTTGTATTTCTTTTTCTTTTTTTTTTTTTTAATTATTTCTTTTTTTTTTTTTTTGGAAAGGGCTTATATAACCTTGGGGATTCTATTAATAAAAATAATGGGTTTGAACTCTGGGAACAACCAGCCCCAGCAATGAGCAAGGAAATGCTCCAAGTTCAGAATGCAGCAGAAGGGAGATAAGGGACAGGCATTCCTGGCAGGAATAGTGGCCAGGGGCTGAGGAGGGGGAGAAGGGATTCCCTGCCTGAAGGCAGATCATCAGGATTTGCCTGTGCCTCCTGTCCTACACCTCCCGGTGCCCAGGGAAAAAGAGAGGAGGTGGGAAGGGGGTTGTTTCAGCCCCAGTGTGGGTCTGGACCCCGTGGGTGTGGGGTGGGTGAGCACCTCTCATCCTCCTGCACCCGTTTTTAAACATCCCAGATCCCTCAGCTGAACCCCAGGCTGCATCCAGGGCAAGAGTGTGGGAAGAGCAGCCCAGGTGAACATCACCTGGACCCAAAGTGTTGCCCAGGATGGGACCTGGGGGATGCTCCTGGCCCTCACGGGTGGGATTTGAGGGATGCTCGTGGTCCCTGTGGACACTGGCCTTGGCTCCACAGGGGCTTGGGGGGAAGTGTTAGAGGAGGTCACAGCAGATTTGGGGTTAAAGAGGCACATCTGAGGCTCAGGCCCAAAACAGGAGGTGACTGTTGTGTGTTCAGTGTGACTTTGAGGTCATGAGCCCTGGGGGGGTTCATGTTCTCCCCCCAGTCAGTGCCAAGGAGCCTTTGTTCTGCTCTTGTGATTTAGGGGCTCTTTCTCTTTTTAATCCCTAAGTAGCCAGCAAGGCATATAAAGGCTTTGCTATAAAATTAAGAGAGGTTAAAGCCAAGGTGGCAATTAGAGAAAGCTGGGATATAACCTAAATCAGGGCATTTGGAGGCAAAACACCCACAGCCTTTGGGATGTGTTCAAGTGTCCAGTTGGTTCCCTTTAATATCGAAATATTTAAAACCTCATTTTTCCATTCAGGGTGAACGTTGCTTTAGGTTTATTGTGTTTCCCCTTTTACCATGTGGGATTATCAGCTTGTTTCCCAGAAAGGCTTAACACGCCCCTCAGCAGTGGCTGGTTTGTTTGGGACTTTATTTTCTTTTTTTTTCTCCCTTTTAAATCTCCCTTATTCAAGTTGTCACAGCTTGACAGCCTTGTGCCAGGAACACGCTGTCATCCTGAAACTCATATCTTTAATTCCTTCCCTCTGATGCTGATAACACCTTAAGATGATTAAGACTAGGAGGGGGGGAAATGTAATATCTTATTTTTTGCTATTTGGATGCTGATCACTGACTCTCAGCACTTCATTCATCTCAGGAAGTAGAATTGGAGTGGTCACCCCCTTCCTCCCAGGGGTTCTCCTTAAGTTTCGTGTCTGGATTTTAATTGCTGAATATCCATGGCTGGGTGTTGTCCAAACATTTTTCTTGTCCATTGGAGATGCAGTGGTGTGACAAGCCCCCTGCCACAGCATCCCTTGGCTGGGAGCCACCCTGCAGCTCTCTTTGGGATGTTCCCAAGGGCAGCATTCCCGTGCTGGCAGTGCCAGGAGACACGGGATTGGGCTCGGACGCTCTGTCCTGCTCCAGCCCCAGTGCCAGTGCTCGCAGCATGAGTGACACAGATTCCTGTCACCATGAGGTTATTTATATTTTTTTAAAGATGTTTTTGGTCTGGGACATGTTCAAGGTATGTTTTTGGCTTCCCAGTGTTGTGGGGCACCACTTATCCCGTGCCCAGCTGACACTTCCTACTAGGCTGGGCACCAGCTGCTTTGGGCAGCAGCTTCCACACCTTTTTGCTCCTCTAGGAAAGAAAGTGCTGGACAAAATGGAACACTGTAAATCCCTGTAAATCCCTGGATGTGGAGCTTTATGTTGGTGTGTGCAAGGGCAGGACCCTGGGGATGCACTGAGCAGTTCAGGGGAAATAGGAGACAGCAGTAAGTTTGGAAAAACATCTCTTTTGACTTAAATTCCCTGTGTGTGCTGGGTTGGTGGGTCCTGTGGTCTGATGAGTGGCTTGGGGCTGATGGGATGTTGGTTTAGGATTTTAGGTCATGCTTGGATCACAAGTGGGGCATGACCAGGGAGTGGCAGCGCTCGGAGGGCTCCGGCTGTGTCTGTGTCAGACCTTAGGGTTTCCACGGGCCTCAGTGTCCCCAGGGGATGAACAAACAGCCCCTTCCCTCACTCCTGTTCAGGGAAACTGGGTGCTGGCACCTTCTGCAGGTGTTGCAGGACTGAGTGACCCAGGACAGGTCACTTGGGCCCCAATGCCAGTGATAGTGCTGTGCCAGATGTGGCACAGTGAGGTCCCTGCTGACAGTGGGGTCCCTGCTGTCCTCACTCTCTGCACGGCCCAGGGGTTTAGAGGGATGAGTCTGGGGGCTTTAGGAGCACCATTGGAGGGGACTCCTCAGCCCTTCACAGCTCCTGAGCGGAGAGAGAACTGACTCGAGGAAAACAGGGAGCAAGGGGGGAGAGCAAAGCTGCTGCTCCCTGACATGGTGTAACCTGCGGGCTCGGTGTCCTTCATGCTCCCGGCATCCCCTGCTCCTGGTATCCCTGTGTCCACCATGTTCCTGCCATCCCTATGCTCCCACTCTCTCTGTGGTCCCCATATTCCCGGCATCCCCGTTCTTCCCATGTTTCTGGCATCCCTGTGCCCCTGGTGTTCCCATGCTCCCCATGTTCCAAGCATCCCCATGCTCCTGGTGTCCCTGTGCCATTCCATGTCCCCAGTACCCCCACACTACCAGTGGCCCTGTGTTCCCCATGTTCCCATCATCCCTGTGCTCCCCATGTCCCCGTGCCCCCCTGTGCTCCCAGTACCCTTACGCTCCCGGTGTCCCTGTGGTTCCCATGCTCCTTGTGTCCCCGTGCTCCCAGCACCCTCACATTCCCAGTGTCCCCCTGTTCCCCATGCTGCTGCCATCCCCGTGCTCCCAGCATTCCAGGCACACGGACTCTCAGTGACACCTTCTCACCTTCTCCTCCCACCCCGCAGGAAGAGCGGCTGAGCCGGACGAGACGATGACTGTGGAGAGCACGGAGACCAACGGGCCCCTGCGGGAGCCGGAGCTGGGGGGTCCCAAGGCTCCGGTGCCCCCCGTGCCCTCGCGGCGCCGGGGCCGCCGCCTGCGGCGCAAATCCCCCCCGGAGAGCCCGGTGAAGGGGCAGCTCCGCATGCGCTCGCCGGCCGGAGCCTTCGTCATGGTGGGCATCTCGGTGGTCCTGGTGGGCATGACCATCGCCGTGGTGGGCTACTGGCCCCACCGGGGGCACGGCGGCACAGGGGCCGGCGGGGGCAACGCCAGCGTGGCCGGGGACACGAGGAGGGAGGTGGCAGCTGCGCGCCACGGACCCCACAGTGAGAAGCTGAAGCTGATCGGCCCCGTCATCATGGGCATCGGGCTCTTCATCTTCATCTGCGCCAACACGATGCTCTACGAGAACAGGGACATGGAGACGCGCCGGCTGATGCAGAAGGGGCTCTACGGCATGGTCGGGGGGCTCCCCGAGGGCGCCGGCCCCGAGGACGGGCACTGCCAGCACGGGGATGGCCCCAAGGCCAACGCCGAGTGCGTGGAGGGCTGTTACCAGGTGGACCTGTCCTGCCAGCCCTGCCCCGGCCCTGGCAGCAAGTGGTCCGACTGCTACGGCCCCAATCGGCTCCAGGCCATGGCAGAGTTCCTGCAGCACCCGGCGGGATCCCCCGCGGCCTCCCTGCACAGCCTCCGCTCCGGCGCCTCCGCCGAGGCCAACGTTGGCCTCCCGCGCCGCGCCGGGGCCGAGTCCCTGCTCTGCTCGGCCGTGGGCGCCCTGGCACTGCCCGTCATCAAGCTCAACAACTGCCTGCTGGACGCAGCGGCGCGAGGGGCTGGTGGGAGGGTGGGCCCTGCTGAGCATCCCCCTGAAACACCACGGCCCCCCCCGGCCCCGCTCTCCATCGGCGACAGCGTCACAGCGTGTGGCCAGGATTGTGGTGGCCGTGGTGGTGGTGGTGGTGGTGGTGGTGGTGGTGGTCACACCGTCATTGACATGGATGGCGGGTGCCCCGCTGCAGAGCTGGTGGCAGCAGATCTCAGCCCCGATGTGCAGCTCCACACCCCAGGACACTCCAAATCCCTGGACCTCGGCCGACCGGGGGTGCTGCTGGTGGCCCCCATGAAGGACCGTAAGAACCGGAGCTGGCCCCGGCTGGACCACGTCAGCCTGGTGGGCTACGCCAAACTGGAAAGTACTGGCGAGTCCTCGGACCGGCTGCTGGAGCCCAGCGAGCCCCCGAGCCGGGCAGAGCCCCGGCCCAGCTCCTGGGTGGTGGGCACAGAGCAGGGCACGCAGGTGTGACATCCCTGGGGACCACGACATCACAGCCCCTCGTCCTGGCCCCCAGAACCCACCAGCGGCCCTGAAAGCCCCTCTCCAGGAGGGGTTCGTTTGTGAGCAGGTGCCAAGAGGAAGATCCTGACGCGCCGCTCCCGGGGAGAACTCACCTGGGGTGGGATGTCCTTCCTGGTGGGTGCCCTTGGCCTTACAAGCCCTTCTCCTGGTGGCTTTTCTGGAGGAGCCCCCACTTTAAGACCCAACAAACTGTGGGATGGGGATGTGGGGGTGAGTGAAGCCTCACCAGCCCCTGCAGCACTTTATTTCAGTGGGGTTGGGGTGGGGGGGATGATCTGGGGGGTGGTGGCCACTTGTCCAGTCTCAGCCCACCAGAAAATTTGCTTGCCCAGAGCACGTAAGCCCGACAGGGCTATTAAATATTACCTGGATGCCACGTGGTCCTGCCTCGCCTCCTCCTGTTCCCAAGGGATCCTCAGGGGGGGCAGTGCCAGCAGCAGCCGGTCCAGAGGGTCTCCAAGACCTTGTGCCCCCACCCAGGCTGTGCTGGAGAAGGGATGCTCCATAACCAGCTGCTGAATATTTGCAGGATGAGGTGATAAGCTCAAGGTTTGGGGTTTGGTTTTTTTTTTGTAGAGGAGGGATGCTAAAGGGATGCCCAGGGAGCTGCAGGTGGCGAGCAAGGTGCTGCTGCCCACCCAGAGCGTGGCAATTCCCAGAGCCTGTCTGTGGATCCAGGTTTATTTGTGCTGGTTTTTGGTGGGACGAAGGGTGCAGGAGGAGGGATGTGAAGGGGCAGTGAGGTGGGTGAGTGTCGTGTTATTTGGTGCCCTTTGGATGCAGAACAGGAGCTGCACAGGATGAGGCCGGAGAGGTGGGAGCTGGGGGTTCATCCCATCCTGTTCTGCTCCCTCCAGCTCTGAATGACTGAAATACATTTTATCTGCATGAAATATTTGGGATTTTTTTACTCCTGTCTCTGCTTCTGCCTCTCTCTGGCCTGAAGTGAGCACAGAGCATCAGACCTTGCAAACTTCGGAGTCAACATCCTTCTCCAGACCAAAACATCCCAGCAGAATGGCTGGGGAATTGCCTTTTCTGGCAAAACCCCCTCTTTTCTCAAAAAGCAACCCCCCACAGTGGGGTTTTTTCCTGCTTTACAAGGAAGAGCTGTCTCTGTTTCCCTCACAGGGAGGTCAGAACCAGCACCCCCTGAGCAGGGGACAGAGATGGGGCCGACGGCTGCGGTTTGGGGCCGGTTGCATCCCGAAGGATTTGCTGGCAGCGACACCAGCCCACAGCTCAGCTATTTATTTGGCTGCTTAATCTCAACATTATTTAGGCACTGCTTCAGTGCAACAAACAGCAACAAGAAAAAGTCACCGGCAGGGACTGCCCTGGAGCAGCATCCCAGGGGAAGGGCCAGGAGGTTGTTTTTGTCCGAAAATAACTTTTTATTTGGGCTCAACCAGCTGCAGCCAGAGCTCAGGCTGGGCCCTGGGCCACGATTCAGGAACCAGCAGCAAGAAATTGGAGCCTGAAGCACCACAAGGAGCTGCACCAGGAGCTACTGGGGGGTTTTGTTTTCATTTTTTTCCCTTCGTTTTTTTGGCTGGGGCTCAGCTTGACTGTGGGAAGTGGCTGGATCACAGGGGAACCTGCCTGGACCACGTGCCCACTCCAGCATCCTCCTCCTGCCCCATCCTCCTCCTGCCCAGCTCAGCAGCATCCTCCAGGGAGGCACTTCTGAGCCACGCTGGGATTGTTTCAAAATGCAAAGCTGCTTGATTAATCAATCTGGCAGGGTGAGATGACCCGTGCCTTCTCCAGGGAGAGCATCATCTGTGCATCCCTCACTTTCAGCTCCAGCTGTGGACACCGTTTCCAGAGAATCTGTGGGATTTTAACAGTGCTGGATTCAGAGGGTGGATGCCGTGGATGCTGTCCCCACAGTGTGCTGGCAATAAACTGGGCAGGGATGGGGCTGGGTTAGAAAAGAAATTAAAAGAGAAAATAGAAATATCCCCCCTGGATGGATCCCTTGGCTGACCCTGCTTGGCTGCAGAGGTGGGAAGTGAAACCATCCTGGAAGCCTGGAAGATGTCTCACTGTGCAGCCTGTGAAGGGCAGTGCTGGGTGGTCTGTCCTGCCCAGGAACGGGCTGGATACACTATGGATTAAATATCCAGCTGTTCTCACCCACTGGAATATCCCATCCCAGGAGGTGCCCACTGCAGGAGGAGATTCCTGCCAACAGAAGAGGGATTTTACCAGAAACACCAGCAAAGAAAATCAGGGGGTTATCCCAAATACCAACACTTCCAGCCTGGCCAGGACTGACCCCGGGGTCCCTTGGGCCAGAGGATGGACACTGGAGCTGCCAGAGACCCCACCAGTTGCAGTTACCCCCCACCTCAAAGGGCTGGTGCATGGCTATGGGGTAAAATGTGGAAAATGGGTTTGGGGGAAACCACTGCCATAGGCTGTGTGTGGGACAGGTGCCCTGGGAGGGTTCAGACCCCACTGAGGGCTGTAAGAGGGTCTCCCATGCCCAGGGACACCCCAGTAGTGCTGCTGGGGCTCCAGATTTGCTGCTGGGACACCTCCATCCCCCAGGGAGGGGCTACAGGTTGCAGGAGGAGTTATTAACACTCCCCCAAGTCTCTCAAACAGCTCTACAAGGAGCTGGGGCCAAGGACTGTGCAGCTCCAGTGGGGCAGGTTCGGTGCCAGCCAGAGAAACACCCTGCAAAGGGGCAAAAAGTGGGGGATGGAGAGAGAAGGGCCGTGCCAAAAAACGTCAGCTCCAAACAGCAAAGGATCCAGACCCAAACCCTGGAGCACAAGAGCCACGGGCACACGGAATCAGCCACAGCCGGGGACGATCAGCTCCCACCCCACACCTGATGCTGCTCAGCCCTCGGGCTGGTTTGCAGCCCTTCCTGCCCTCCCTCCTCCTCTTCTCGGGGTCACAGTCATGGGTCTGCTCGGTCGAGGAGTCCTTCCTTAAGATTTCAGGTCCGTGGGAAGGCGGGGGCTCTGCGCTTGCAGTACCGCCGGGGAACGCCGAGGCTGCGGCGTTATTTGGGGTGAGCGATGCCGGCCGTGAATCTGCCGAGGTGCTGGGAAGATGAAGTGTCGGGGACAGTGTGACCTGTGCGAGGTGAAGGTGCAGCCCCTCCTGCTTAAAGATGACCCTGGGTGGGTGTGGGGAGCTGAAAACCTCTATGACCTTTCGGCGGAGTACACAGGGTGCTGCTTTTTGTTGCTTTGTTTTAAAAAAAACAAGGCAATAATGTGATACAGAAAGCCTCTCTGCTTTGATGAGCCAGCACTGAGCCGAGGGCACCCATCCTGGCACTTCCCAGGATCTGAGGGAGCCGGGATGAGGCTGGAGCTGGGGTGGGTTTGGGGGTAGTTGCTTAATTTTGGTTTTTCTTTATTTTCTGTGGGTGTGGGGTGTCCTCCACAGGTTCATCAGCACCCCAGGAGCTGCACATTTCTCCTGCTGCAGAAACGGGCTGAGCAATGTGGGATGATCCCCCTGGGGCTGGTCCAGGTGGGATGGGGTGAGCCGAGCTCCAAAGCCAGAGTCCCCCCAGTGCTGTCAGTCGTTGAGTGGCAGGAGCTGGAGCCCAAATCTCCAGGGCTTTGGCTTGGAGTCCGTATGGAACCACTGGGGGCAAAAAGGGGGAAGGAAAGGAAAGGGAAAGGCAAAGGAAGGGATGCCCACAGACTTGAAGGTGTCCTGCAGTGGTGCTTTCTTGGGGGCTTGGGGATGGAGCAGGAATGAACACAATGCTGTGAGATGAGAGGTCACTCCCTGCCTCTGGTTTTGACTTTTCCCTCAATTTCCCCAGTGAAGGAGCTCAGGGCTGGGCTCAGTGTGTCCAACCTGGCCCATTGCAAATGTAATTCCTCCATTTCAACCCTATTTATTCCAGACCCTGAATCCCCCTGGGCTCTCTCGGTTGGAAGTGAGGGAGTCACCCCACTGCTGCAATTCCCCCTGGAGCCCTGAGGGCACTGCACTGACCCCCTGAGAACACAAGTGGCTGCTGAGCCCCTGAAATGGGAGGAACAACCCAAAAATAGCCGAGGGCTGGAACAAACTGGAGTTTGAATGGGAACTTTCTCCTCCCGGTGTGACGGCTGCTCCTCTGAGATATGAGGAAGGACCAGGGATGGGTGATGAGCTTTTGTGGCTCCTTCCCAAATGATGGGACCTCCAAGAGGGAGGCATTGCCTTTGGTGTGGGATCTGGGGGCTGGAGCTGGCACGGGGCCACCCAGGAGCTGGGACTGGGCCCCCGGGAGCTGTGGGGAGCTGCTGCTGCCTCTTGTGGGGCCGGGACAGGGGCTTGGGGGTTGGGGTTTTATTTATTTGCATCTGCATTGCCATGGTGTTTGTTTGTCTAATATTTTCCCTTGCTTGTAGCCAGGCAAAATGCCACAGCAAAGTTACCACACACACACACACACACACACACACATCCTCCTCTGGCTGTCAGGGGGGTAACCCTGGGCTTGGGACACCCACCCTGAGGGGGTGGAATGGGGGAGCTTTAAGGAAAAGCCTTCCTAGGTGTGGTGGTCTCCTGGCTGACAGCCCCAGGGCTCGGTGGCTGAGCGAAGGGTTGTGGTGGGTGTTTGCTGTCCCTGTGCTTGTCCCCTGGGAAAATGAGCTGGGGACACAGTTCCCCTGGGAATTTTGGGGGGGGGCTGCAGTGTGCCCTGTGCTGGGGGTGTCCCTTCAGTGGTGATGGCAATGCTCCTGCCCAGCAAACTGTTGTGCCTTGGGTGGATGGGCCGTGTGGGAGCAGGTCCCACCGACGTCCCTGCAGGGTGTCCGTGACAGGGACGGGCTGGGAGCCCCTTGGGGACCATTGTTAGCCCAGTGCCCCTCACCACGAGGGTCCCAGGGGTGATGATGTTCTTTCAGGACACACCCCCCTATTGCCATGGGAGCTGGGAGCCCTGGGACGGACTGGGATCAGCTTGGAGCTGCTCCCTGGGCAATGCTAAAGTGGGGACACAGCTGATGCCTTGGCTGCTGAGCAGGGGACTGACACCCCAAAGCGCAGCTGAGCAGAGGGATGAAGCCATTTCTTGGTTGTTTACCCCAGACACGCTGGTCTGGGGGCTGTGGTCTGTGCTGGGCTGTCACATCACACCAGTGCGTTGTCTGGAGGCACTGGGAGCTCCACAAGCCCCAGCTCCCCGAGACAGGGCTGGTTTTGGCATGACCCTGACGGGGTTGGAGAGGGCAGGAGCCACAGCCTATGCTGGCCCAGGGAGATAATGTG